ATAAAAAACGTGAAGAAGGACATGGCATTGACCATAGATTAAGCATTTTTATCAATGGACTGCACGTTTGAAAAACATCTGGAAAACAGTAATAATATTAAAGCAAGAACGCGATGCTTATATCCTATACTCTTTTTGGTGAAGTAGCTTTAAGTGTTTAAGTTGTTTGTGTTCAGCGGATTTACTGTTGTTCTGTGTTAGTGAAACTGAGCAGTCGAACTTACTCGACCTATCTGTAGCAACTCTAAAGGTAAGTACTAAAAATACAAAGGTAGACGTCTCAAGATTATTGTGGTACCTGTTTTTTGAAACGATGTCCTTACCTTGTTTAGGTTGCCTCCTCTTAACCATAGCATTGAGGCTCTTGCTTCTTCTATTCTACCTCTTCGTACAAGCCATACCGGACTTTCTGGTAGGAAGAAATAGATTGCGAGTGCCGTAATCGGTGGAATCGCACTCAAACCTGAGAAAACGAAAATCATGATCACATTTGAATCGCGAAATTTTAAATTTTCAGGAGACAACAAACACTGGCACTAATAAATTAGTTTAAAGTACTTTTTGCACATAACGGAGGAAGAAGGAAGGTGAATTCGAGCAGAAAGTAGGATAGGTAACCCGAGCGATACGTATTTCTGCTGGTTGGCTTCATCAGGCCCGACATGAAGGCACAAAAGTAGACACACATCCTGATTTCTGCTCAAATCTATTTCCTCCTTCTTGAGGATTTTGTCAATAATTTTTTTCTTTTCGTTGTAAACCTTGCTCCGCATGATCCGTTCCCATCTATACTAAGTGACATATAAATCCGAACACCCAGTTTAAATGGTTTTATTTAATAAAATTTTGTATAAGTACTTAATGAAGCATAATAAGTAAATGATAAAAATTTAAAAATGATTGCACTGCTTTAAAGCCCTTTGACCTTTAATAATGTGTGGATGCACCCGTGATGTGCTACGCATTCTCCAACGCGCCTAGGCATGCTTCTGATCAGGTGGTCAATGTCCTCCTGTGGTATCTCATTCCAGGCAACCACCAACTCCTCTCGAAGTGCTTCTAGAGTCTGAGGAGGGACGTTGCAAATTGAGCAATCTCCTACCCATCATATCCCACACGTGCTCAATTGGGGATAAGTCGGGAGATCTTGGTGGCCATGGTAACAATGTGACATCATTATATTGAAAGAAGTCAAGATAGGGTAAAAGATGGGGTTCTAGAACTTCGTGGATATAACGCTGCGCGTTCATGTTACCTCTGATGAAGATTAAACGTGACCTGTAACCACAAGCTATAGCACCCCAACCATAACTCCAACAGTGTGATGAACATGTCTTTCAACAAAAAACTGTGGATTCCTCCTTTCACCACGTCGCCTTCTAACCCTGGCACGACCATCGTGCATGTCTAAACAAAATCGAGACTCGTCACTAAAGACAATACTGTTTCATTCCTGATCCCAGAGTGACCGTTGTCTGCACCACTCAAGGCGACTACGTCGGTGTTCTTGAGTTAAAGGGAGGACCCAGTGTGGCCGGTATGAAAACAAGCCAAAACTTCTCATTCGTCGGTAAACACTTCGCATGCCAATAGCGTGTTCTGCAAACCATTCATTTGCAATGTTCCTGGTAGTGGAGAAATGGTCCCTTAGGGCCAATGATCTTAGGCGGCGATATTCACGATCTGTTGTTCTACGGCGGCGTCCAGTGCCCCTTGCTCTTTGCGTACTTCCTTATCGAAGCCATGCCTGACAACACCTAACCACAGTGTCTACACTTCTTTGCACTCTAACTGCAATTGCCCGAAAAGAAAGTCCAGCTTCCCGAAGTCCCACTATACGGCCCCTATCAAACTCACTAAGTTGACGAAATCGTACAGGTCTCCGTACTCTAGGCATCGTAACCGATCGTAAAGGATGTCAAGAACCACAATCCGCCAACGTTGATTCTTTACTGCGGCTGAAATATTCATTTTAGAGCGTAGTGAATTAAAAAAAAGCAGTATAAAAACCGGAATGTCCAACTGATAAGGCTGAAAATTTTTTCACTTGTTATTTACAGTAAGATAAATATATTCACCAACTTTTATTAAAATAAAACCATTTAAACTGGGTGTTCGGATTTATATGTGACTTAGTATATATATAAAAATATATGAAAATACATAAAATATTAGTCATATTTTTTTGATTATTTTGAAAATTACTTTTAAATATTGGCATGATGATAGAAATCTAAAACAAGTTGCTCGAAATGTTAAGCAAATTCAGTCTATGACAAGAAGTGTTAATTGATTCCCCTTTCATACTGTAGATTGTAGATAAATATCTACCACTGGAATTCTTATTTAAACTTTTTTGGCCTCTATCGTAAAAGAAAAGATTCAAGTGATTCTTGCACTGATCAATTCATTTTCTGCTATCTGAGTTTGTTTCTTATTCGGGATAGCATCAGTCATTCTTGCGTTTGCGAATCTTGAGTATACGTTCGCATATTTATAATATTTTGGAAAACGGTTAGCTTTATTTAGTTACCTGCAACTTCTCTCCAAGGCAGCAGGAATCCCAGTGCATATACCAAAAGTATACCAAAAGAATAACTAGCAAAGGGACCACTGGAAAATATACCTCGAAGGTGAGGTTCGGATATTTCACCTATGAACACCTGAAAATTGATTTGGAGTTAACCTTTATGTCACTTATTCAAAAAAGAGACAGGTTTTAACGCCATATAAAGCTATCAGGAGGTCAAAGTTTGTTTTCATAGTTTATATTTTGTTAACAATAGACTGATAAATGGGGCAATAGATAGAATTTGATATTTTTTCAGGAGTTTGAACCACTAATCACTTTGTTTTGTTAATGATCCATGAGTTATGAATCGTTATTCAAAGATATAGACACATCATCCTTAAATTTTTACTTCGATAATGATGATGACATAGTTTATTGACTCCAAACAAAGAAGCTTGCGATTTGGAGTTTGAACCTAACACTCAGTTTCGTGATGTTTGATAGAAAAAAAAATTGTACACGAGGGACGTCCTTTAAGTTTTGCATATAGAAACATAGTAGGCCGCGCGGATCGAACGTCAGTACTGAATCTTAACCTCACTCTTTAGTAAACTTAAATTCAAAGTTTCACAACTCAACCGAGAACATTTTCGCGCCATAATTTATTACAACTTTCAGAGACAATTATCGCAACAAGAATGCCTAGCTGAGTTACTGTCTGTTTTCGGCAACGAAGCGCCACACCAGTCGACAATTTCCCGTTGGTATGTAGAATTCAAACGTAGACGGGTGACTCTTAGCGACGATTCCAAGGTGGCTGCACCGAAAACGGCAGTCACCCAGGAAAACGTCGATGCTGTGCCCAAACTCATCATTGAAGATAGGCGTGTGACATATCGCGAGATTGAGGCGTCCTTGAAGATCTCAAAGACGTCAATTCAAAAAAATTTCCATGAAGAATTAGGAGTACGAAAATTAGTTTCTCGTTGGATACCGCGACTGTTGACTGAAGAGCAGAAAGCAGCCAGGGTTAATTGGTGTCAAAAAACGCTTGACGGTTTCAGTTCCAGAAACTCAAAAATGTGTACAGCATTGTTAGTGTTGATGAATCGTGGATTTACTGCGATGAACCAGAAAATAAACGACAGTCGGCCGTTTGGGTGTTCCAAGGTGAAGAAAAGCCAACAAAAGTCATCCGTTCTCGAAGTGTTTCGAAAAAGGTGGACGCGACATTTATGTCAAAAGCGGGTCATATTGTAACAATTCCTCTTAATGAGCAAGGAACTGTTACTGCGGATTGGTATACCACCATTTGTTTGCCAAAAGTCATCACCGAGCTTCGAAAAATCAACCCCGAAAGAAGAATGATCCTCCACCAAGACGATGCAAGCTCGCACACAGCCCAAAAAACAAGGCAGTATTTAACGGAAGAAAACGTCGAATTGTTGGACCATCTTCGTGGAGAATACTTCGAAAAACAGTAAAGTCATTTAAAACTACCTACCGTGTTGTTTTATTTCCATATGCAAAACTTAAAAGACATCTCTCGTAGTAGATTGAGAAACGGAACATAAATGAAATATCCATAGAAAATAAACCAAGATGTCTGGAATTTGAAGAAAAAATTGTTTAAATGGATTCCACAACGGAATTGGAGGTAAATGATAAAATATCGGGTAACTTTTTGTTTGTTAAGCATCCCCTAAAAAATCAATTCGTGTCTACATTTAATGAACTATATTAACAAGAATATTGAAAAGATCTTCAAAATGAGATTTTATAATATTTCCCAGTTGATGCAGCGATTATTTCCTTATTGTATGTTAATAGTCCATATTCTGATGCTTTGGAATTTTGTGGACGGATGTTTGAAATACAGGGTGTTTCAGTTTATTGTTGCATAACTTTAAAATTCAATAGAACTTTTAAAATTAATGCATAAAGTCTATATAAACATGGGTCAAAAAAGCGTGGCTTCCGAAATACAAGGTGTTTAAATTTACTTTCTAAAATAGTTTTTTTTAAATATTTCGAACAATATTTGATGTATAACAGTGAAAATTGGTATACAAGGGTTTTTTGGTACGACAAACGAACCATGGGCATAGTTTTACTGTAGCCGCTAGAGGGCGCTCTCTACTGTACCTGTAGTGTATTAAAATGACCGAACATTTTTTCTTAGTGCAATTTTTTGCTTTTTGAATAAAAAAACTGATTCTTCGCACTTTTCAACATAAAAAAGCTCTGAATTTTCGTTATAGTTAGCCGTTTTTGAGATATTTCGATTTTTAAGGTTCGATGCATTTTTAATTATTTATGATAAAATAACGTTAAAAAGTCAGTATCTCGATAATTTTTAGAAGTAGGCTGTGCCTGCAAATATTTTTGAAATTGAAAGCAGAATAAGGTTAAACGTCAATTAGTTGACAGTTAGTTTTGTTGTCTGTTGAAACCTGAAACCTTTTTTTGCAATTGTGAATGCACGAAATTTTGTTTCTTTTACCTGTTTTTTTTGTAAGTTTTTTAAAAATGCCTTTTTTATTCTTCAATCAAGAGTTAGCGGATATTCATTTTGTGTATGGCTTTGTAAATGGAAACGCAGCAGAAGTAGCCAGAGAATACGCACGAAGATGTCCAAACAGACGACATCCAACTCGCTCAGTATTTGTAAGAGTGCATCGCCAAATAATTCAAAATGGATTTGGAAATCTCCAAAGGGATCAAAACATAAATGTTCGTCAGCGCAGATTTACCCGTATGATTCTGCGTGAGTTTGATAGAGATGCGACCACAAGTGTTAGGAGAGTTTCTGGTGCATTGGGAATTTCAGCAAGCCATGTTCACCGTGTTCTTAGAAATGACCATAGACGTCCTTACCATTTGCAACCTGTGCAAGGACTACAGCCAGGGGACGGAAAACGAAGAATCACATTTTGTCAGTGGATTCTTGATAGAACTGATAATAATACGGAGTTTTTAAGTAACGTTTTATGGACCGATGAGTCATGCTTCACTAGACGTGGAGTGGTAAATTTTCATAATCAACATATTTGGTCGCATGAAAATCCGCATGCAGTTAGGGAAAGAAATTTTCAGCATGAATTTAGTGTGAACGTGTGGATTGGTATCTACCATAATCGACTATTTGGACCCTACCTTTTGCATGCAAGGTTAAATGCTGCGACCTACTTGGAATTTTTGATGGCTGTCCAGGTCATTATTCGAGAATAGTTAGAAACTGGCTGGACGAAAATTATCCAGAAAGATGTATCGGCCGTGGAGGACCAGTCGCCTGGCCTCCACGATCCCCTGACCTAAATCCATTAAATTTCTTTGTGTGGGGATTTCTAAAAGAAAAAGTGTACCAGACTCCCGTAATCACAAGAGATATACTAATAGACAGAATCAGGAATGCATGTGATGAAATAAGGCCTTATTTGAATAATACTATACCACGTTCGATCATTCGTAGATGTGAATTGTGTATTGAACAATTGGGTTTACATTTCGAGCAACTACTTTAGATTTTGTATGCTTGTCCTAACTATCCAATCGCATTTTAGTTGTAAATAATTAATTTAATTTGTTAAAAATAATACTGGAAAATTAAACAAATTAATATTCTGTTTTTTGTGTTCATTTGGAGTTGGGAATTATTGCTGTGTTTAAAATCACAATCTAAACGATCATCTTAATTACTTGTAATGCCCAAATCGAAAATGTAAAAAAATATTATTTTCCCATAAATAATTAAAAATGCATCGAACCTTAAAAATCGAAATATCTCAAAAACGGCTAACTATATCGAAAATTCACATGAGAACTTTTTTATGTTGAAAAGTGCGAAGAATCAGTTTTTTTATTCAAAAAGCAAAAAATTGCTCCAAGAAAAAATTTTCGGTCATTTTAATACACTACAGGTACAGTATAGAGCGCCCTCTAGCGGATACAGTAAAACTACGCCCATGGTTCGTTTTGTCGTACCAAAAAAACCCTTGTATACCAATTTTCACTGTTATACATCAAATATTGTTCGAAATATTTAAAAAAAACTATTTTAGAAAGTAAATTTAGACACCCTGTATTTCGGAAGCCACGCATTTTTCGACCCATGTTTATATAGACTTTATGCATTAATTTTAAAAGTTCTATCGAATCTTAAAGTTATGCAACAATAAACTGAAACACCCTGTATACTGAGGAACTTTGAAAAAATGTTCATCGAAAATGTCACATTTTGCGTTTTTACCTCGAATACTACTCGTATCAACTTTACAGAAAAGTTCGTATATACTTTTTGTGTTCAAAATAGCGCATAGAAATTAAAAGCTTCGTTCAGATTACAAAAACAATTTTTTTGGAATTTGCTTAAAATTAAAATAGTTATTGATGATATTTTGGGCTTGTCAACAGATTCGTTAGGCGGTGCTCATCTTAAATGAGATTGTGCAAAAAATCAGTTAGAATATTATTGCGAAATAATGCGAAGATATTTCCTGGACTGTAAGTCAAAAGTTGTCGATGCCCAAATTCATTTGTTTTACTGGAAAGTGCTTAATAATAAACATCAAAGCTTTTGTAGTTACCGGAATAGAAAAAAATTGTCGAAATGATCTGAGATGGACATTTCTGCTACCATATTAGAAACCAATGTCATAAATTACCCCGGTTTCGTTTTTATCTGACGACGAAAGATGGTAGGAATTTCCCAATACGAAGCCCGAAAGCTTGGCTCGTTGTTTTTGCTTCCTTGCATCATAAGCCCGCACAAATCATATGGAAAATGGGTCCCAGTCGGTATGTCTAAAAATTGAGTATGATATTTATCATTTTCTTGAACAAAATCCCTCTTGGGAACAAAGCAAACCTGTGATTAGTGACAAATGGATGAGGAAGCTCGCCCGATTTTCAAAAAATGGTGAATGCACCGATCCTAGCTTTCTGATCAAAGTATTCATATAGTGTTGATCTTGGTTGTGATCCTTACAAGGTCAATTTAAGGTTTAGCTTCTTTTCATGCGTTGACACTAAAATGAATCTGGCACGAGGTCATAAAAATTCAGTCAGGAAGTGAATACGCCTCTCAAGGGTACCGAATAGTCGTGGCTGTTTAGTTTTCTTTGACTATGACCTTCACAAGGTCAATTCAAGGTAATTTTGAAACCGAAAGGGAAAGAAAAAGCGCACTCATGTGAATACAGTTTCAAAATATTGGACTATTAAGTTCCTTGTTTTGGCCTACTTCCAGAATATCGAAAAGGCTTGGGTCAACTTTTTTGAAGGTTAACAAATTTCAGTCTGAGAAAGCACATCAAGGAACCACATGTGGCTACAGCTTTGGCGCCAGATTTAAATTTGTAATATTTCTTATTAATTACTGCATAATCGTCAGGTAAAACTTGTCGATAAGGTATTCATAGTCGATACCCGATTCTGAAACGTGAGTAAATTATGTATAAAAGGGCATTAACGTGGCCTAGGGAACGGGCAATGTGGACTTACGATGACTGGAAAAAGATCATTTTTAGCGAGGAATCGAAATTTGATGTTTGTGTGGGTGACCACTGGATTATAAGGAACAAAAATGAAGCGTTTGGCATTAGAAAACTTCATTTCATAGACGGAACTGTAAACGCAGCTAAAAATCAAAATATAGTTGAAATAAATGAACTAGTGTGGGATATGTGGGATCAAGACTGCGAAAACCTTGTTAAAACTATGCAAGACAGAATTAATGCTGTTATTAAGACAAAGGAAAAGTTAACCCGCTAGTGAAATATTAGTTTAGCTTTATAGTTTAATACAGAGTTCCCCAAACTTTTTTGTGTCGTAGACCCCTTGCCATGTTTTTCCGTATTGGGTAGACCCCCTACTTACCTGATATTGATTTTCTGTAAATTTCTAACTGTAGTGAAGTTTAGTGTTAAAAACTTAAAGTAAAAACACATGCTAATTTATACATTTATTAATTGAATTTAAATTAAAACTACTCAAAATAAAATTTTGAATCTGTTATGTAAAATATACGTAACATTAAATAAACAGCATTGGGAATAAGTGCTTGCCTTGAAAAAACAAATAAGAGGAATAAAATAAGAAAAAGTGAAAAATAAAAAAAAAGTTTTTTACTTAAAATAGTACAATAAGCGAGTTCGCTTATTAATTATATCATAAACGTAAATTCTACAATAATTTCACTGTTAGTTTGATTAAATTCCGCTTCTTATACGTTTAAGTTATCTAAAAATAGGCAAAAAATTAGCGAATTTTAGTGTGTACCTATCCTTGAATTTTCAGAATAATTAAAAAAAGATATTTTCTATAAAGGGGGGTTCTTTAAAAAAATCAATGCGGGCACTTATTCCCAATGCGGGCATTTATTGGTCAGACACCAATAAACATAAAATAAACTATAAATAAAATAACATAAGCAATAAGTCAATATTTTTAGTCAAAAGGATGAACCTTTAATAATAAATTATCAACATTTGGCTCAATTTTGTAAGGGTTAATCTTAAATCTCCTCGGCTAATGATGTCCAGTCTGTTTCTTTTTTTCGTTAGGAGATTGGTAACAGCGCTGAACCCCCTTTCCACTAGGTATGACGATGGAAAGGAAATTAAAAATTTTCTCGCTATATTCCGTAATACGGGATAAGTAAAGGGTATGTTGTTTTGCAGCCAGAATTGCTGATATCCGTTTTTAAACTGAACCTTAAGTTCTTTGTTTGTACTTAGTTCAGTCAGTTCCTCTTGTAATATGACATTCGTTTCTTGTATGTCACCATATGGATTAATTATCCACGGTGGTATTACCATAGTCAAAATATCTTCAAACCTAGATTCAAAATCTGAATAGAGGGCATTTAAATGTTGAAGGTAATTCGAAACGTCGTCTTCCTGGCAGCTTGTCTGTGACAAATTGGGGAACTGAGAAAATTCGCCCCGTCCAATATTTTGCTTCATTAGTTTAACTCTGACAAGAAACGCTGATAAGATGGACTTTGTTTTAATCAAATTTAAACTGTCGCCTTGTAATTGCAAATTAACCATATTAAATTTTGTAAACAAATCTGTTAAATAGGCGATGTCTGTTTTCCTCTTCATTAAATTTTCTTTTAAAATTTTATCTTTATTATCCAGAAATTCTAAAATAGTCTCAAAAAGTGCAAAAAATCTTGTCAAACAAAAGCCTTTCGACAGCCAGCGTACTTCAGTGCGAAGGAGTAATTGATGAAAGTGTTCGTCGTTTTCTTCACACAACTGCGCAAATAACCGCGTATTCAACGCGTTGCTTCGGATTCGGTTTACTGTATCAATGACTAAATGAAGTGATTCATGCAATCTAACACTCAAATTTTTAGCAACTAAATGTTGTCGATGGATAGCGCAATGTATTGCTAACACCCCTGACACATTTTGTTTTAAATAGCTTATAAATCCACGATAACGTCCAACCATGGCAGGTGCTCGATCTGTAGCTACTGATATTATATTTGATAAAGGAATTGCTTTTTCAAGGAAGTAATCCTTCAAAACATAAAATATTGATTCACCTTTAGTGTCGGTAATCAAAGTTCTTGCGAAGAGCAGTTCTTCGTAGATTTCTTGATTCATAATAAAACGAACATATGCCAATAATAATGCTGCATTATCAGGTAAAGTTGATTCGTCCAGTTGTCTAGAGAAATGGGTCGTTTGCAAATAATTACATAAAAAGCTTTCAATATCAGAACTCATTTCATCAATACATCTTTCAACAGTATTGTTGCTTAAGGGAATTCTTTTAATGATATCAGATGCAGGTTTGTGTAAAACAGTTTTTAAAACCTCTTCAACGGCTGGCAAAATTAACTTCTCTCCGATAGTATGCGGTTTTCCGGATTTTGCTATAAGTAACGAGATATTGTAAGACGCCCGCAAACCATCATCATTTCTTTGTGACGTCGAAGCGAACATTCTGTCCAGTGTAGGTCTCTTCTAAAATTTATCTTTGAGTGTTTGAAAGTATTTCAAAGCTGTCTCTGTTTTATCAGGGTAGCATCTTCTCAGATGATCTTGCAGTTTAGATGGTTTCATAGCGTCATTGCCCAAAACTTTGTTGCATAAATAGCACATAGGCGATTGTTTGTCCGGCAATGACGGAATGAAGCCAAATTTCAAATAATCAACACAGTGTTAGGTCTACATTTCTTTTTAGATTCGGACATGGCATCAGTCATCTGTGGGCAAAATTAAATTATTTAAATAAGACAGAAAATCCAGCAGCTGTATATTAAAAATATTTTTTGATTTTTCCGAAAACATTCCATAATTCCAACATCTTCTTGCAACAATTAGCTCGAATTACGAAGATTGCACTGTAATTATATTACCCATTGCTATAACTTTCAAAAAGGAACTATTGAGGAGTACTCGTGTAATTTTGCATGATTGAATATTTAACTACTAATAACTAAAGTCATGATTGGCGTAATTTATCTATCTTTGCTAACTACGAGTACAAAACTAAAATTTAATAAAAAATAATGTACTTACTTTTCTCCAGCACTCTCGAACAAAATAACACTGATTTACTATAATTTGGGTGATATACTTATCTGTTTACATTTTTTAAAATGTTTTCTTAGCACTTTCCTTTTCAAGATTCAGGAAACGAATAAACGTATTTGTCCCACATTCGTATTTATAGAGTGACGAATTGAACAAGTCAGTGCAAGGTAGCGAAGCTCTGAGACTGCGACTCTCAGGTTTTTACAAGTTCAAAATGTATTGCGACCACAAAGCGAATACCAACATCCTACAACTTACACAATTTTATAAACATATATAATAAATTTTTTACTTCATAGGTACTTTTATAAACAATGTATATGTTTTGATATTATAAGATAGTATGATGTAAGTAAATACGTACTATCAGTGTATGTGTTGAGATCCACTATCGTGGACCCCCATATTCATTTCATTGACCCCCATATTTTTTTTCGCTGACGTAGACCCCTTGCAGGTTGTCATAGACCCCTAGGGGTCGATATAGACCACTTTGGGAATCAATGGTTTAATATCATATTACTTGATAATAATTTTGTTAATGTGATGTCTAAACAATATAATTCAATGTCTTGTGAAGGAAAAAATATTTAGTAACCTTAAAAAAAAACTTTAAGATAAAATTAGATAATTTCAGAACTATTTTGTTAGGGCTCGTATATGCACTTTCATCATTTTTTGCAAACCTGAAAACTTCACCCTTTTTATCAGAAACTTTTGTTCAGGAATGAGAGAAATATATCATACTTAATTTATAGACATATAGACCAAGCCCCATTTTGTGTATAAGCAGTTTTGACCAAAACCTTTTTTTGTGTACGTAAAATCAATTAATGAAGTAACGATGTATCAGTTAGCAAAGTCTGCCTCAAATTACATTGATCAGAGTTTCTACGAAGATTTTTCTTCTAATAGCCATGCACTAGTTGGTATTTGTAATGGAAGATATCGATTGTTTCTTACTTGTCCTGTTGCCGCGGCCAATCCGGCTGAGATGCCGGCCACGATTCTTCCAATCAGCAACCAAACATGATTCTGAGCCAAACCAATCAGAAGCCAACCGACGATCAGAGGCGTTGACGCTATCTGCATTGCTACCTTCCTGCCGAATCTGTCCATGAAGATTCCGCTTAGGAGAGATCCTACTGGGGTAGCTGCAGAATGAAGACTAGCTGAAAACAATAGTATCCGTCTTTAATGTCTTTAAATTCAGTAGTCGTGTTGTACTTCTACTTTTGTGACTTTGAGGTGTTGTTGTTCCCCTAATGATTTGTTTTTGAGGTTAGCAAGTATCTAAATTCCTTACAAGATCCCGAAGTGTATTGAAATTTATTTTAAAGCGATTTTCAAGCTAGTTTGTTAGGCCGACAAATGACACAGCCTTCTGTATCGTAGTCACTTTTATCCAATTGTAGAACAATGTCATGTAGTTGTGAAAAAACAAACTCAGCTCGCATTTCATTGTGCATTTGTGTAAATAATGATTGTCAGAATAAAAAAGAATAAATGTCCAGTCCTTTTAATCTATTCCTATTTATTTTTTATTAATATGCTCAGTGACATATACAATGCAACACCCAGAATTATAGTAAGTGACATATAAATCCGAACACCCAGTTTAAAATGGTTTTATTTTAATAAAATTTTGTATAAGTACTTAATGAAACATAATAAGTAAATGATAAAAATTTCAAAATGATTGCACTGCTTTAAAGCCCTTTGACCTTTAATAATGTGTGGATGCACCCTGATGTGCTACGCATTCTCCAACGCGCCTAGGCATGCTTCTGATCAGGTGGTCAATGTCCTCCTGTGGTATCTCATTCCAGGCAACCACCAACTCCTCTCGAAGTGCTTCTAGAGTCTGAGGAGGACATTGCTAATTGAGCAATCTCGTACCCATCATATCCCACACGTGCTCAATTGGGGATAAGTCGGGAGATCTTGGTGGCCATGGTAACAATGTGACATCATTATGTTGAAAAAAGTCTATTGTGACTCTTGCAACATGTGGTCGGGCATTATCTTGTTGGAAAGTTGGATCTGCCAGGGTGTCAAGATAGGGTAAAAGATGGGGTTCTAGAACTTCGTGGATATAACGCTCCGCGTTCATGTTACCTCTGATGAAGATTAAAGGTGACCTGGAACCATAAGCTATAGCACCTCAAACCATAACTCCAACAGTGTAATGAACATGTCTTTCAACAAAAAACTGTGGATTCCTCCTTTCACCACGTCGCCTTCTAACCCTGGCACGACCATCGTGCATGCTTAAACAAAATCGAGACTCGTCACTAAAGACAATACTGTTCCATTCCTGATCCCAGAGTGACCGTTGTCTGCACCACTCAAGGCGATTACGTCGGTATTCTCGAGTTAAAGGGAGGACCCAGTGTGGCCGGTATGAAAACAAGCCAAAACTTCTCATTCATCGGTAAACACTTCGCATGCCAATATGTCTTCCGTGTTCTGCAAACCATTCATTTGCAATGGACCTGGTAGTGGAGAAACGGTCCCTTAAGGTCAATAATCTTAGGCGGCGATCTTCACGGCCTGACAACACCTAACCACAGTGTCTACACTTCTTTGCACTCTAACTGCAATTGCCCGAAAAGAAAGTCCAGCTTCCCGAAGTCCCACTATACGGCCCCTATCAAACTCACTAAGTTGACGAAATCGTACAGGTCTCCGTACTCTAGGCATCGTAACCGATCGTAAAGGATGTCAAGAACCAAAATCCGCCAACGTTGATTCTTTACTACGGCTGAAATATTCATTTTTAGAGCGTTAGTGAATTAAAAAAAGCAGTATAAGAACCGGAATGTCCAACTGATAAGGCTGAAAATTTTTTCACTTGTTATTTACAGTAAGACAAATACATTCACCAACCTTTATTAAAATAAAACCATTTAAACTGGGTGTTCGGATTTATCTGTCACTTAATATATTTATTGAATTTTGATAAAGACTTGTAACCATATTTGTTATCATGGAAGTATACGGTTTTTTAAAAACGGAGTTCATCTAGGAACTTCCTGCAGTCCAATAAATATGCCTTCTTTTAATTTTGCATCACTTAGTTGGGGAAATATTTCTCTTAGGTACCTAATTTTTCATTAATCCAAGCTTAATATGGAGAGGCGGTAGCAGCACCTTTTTTGAGTTAACAATAATATTTGAGGTACCAGGTTCAAAAAAACTTCTATGGGGCCAATCCTTTTTACTGTAGTGTTCTTTTGTTGCCCGACTGTCCCATAGACACAAAAAACAGCAATACTTTTAAAAAACCCCTTGAAGACCTAGCAATGACTTTTAAATCCCCACATATACTAAGTGACATATAAATCCGAACACCCAGTTTAAATGGTTTTATTTTAATAAAATTTTGTATAAGTACTTAATGAAGAATAATAAGTAAATGATAAAAATTTCAAAATGATTGCACTGCTTTAAAGCCCTTTGACCTTTAATAATGTGTGGATGCACGCTGATGTGCTACGCATTCTCCAACGCGCCTAGGCATGCTTCTGATCAGGTGCTCAATGTCCTCCTGTGGTATCTCATTCCAGGCAACCACCAACTCCTCTCGAAGGGCTTTTAGAGTCTGAGGAGGACGTTGCAAATTGAGCAATCTCCTACCCATCATATCCCACACGTGCTCAATTGGGGATAAGTCGGGAGATCTTGGTGGCCATGGTAGCAATGTGACATCATTATGTTGAAAGAAGTCTATTGTGACTCTTGCAACATGTGGTCGGACATTATCTTGTTGGAAAGTTGGATCTGCCAGGGTGTCAAGATAGGGTAAAAGATGGGGTTCTAGAACTTCGTGGATATAACGCTGCGCGTTCATGTTACCTCTGATGAAGATTAAAGGTGACCTGGAACCATAAGCTATAGCACCCCAAACCATAACTCCAACAGTATGATGAACATGTCTTTCAACAAAAAACTGTGGATTCCTCCTTTCACCACGTCGCCTTCTAACCCTGGCACGACCATCGTGCATGCCTAAACAAAATCAAGACTCGTCACTAAAGACACTACTGTTCCATTCCTGATCCCAGAGTGACCTTTGTCTGCACCACTCAAGGCGATTACGTCGGTGTTCTCGAGTTAAAGGGAGGACCCAGTGTGGCCGGTATGAAAACAAGCCAAAACTTCTCATTCGTCGGTAAACACTTCGCATGCCAGTAGGTCTTCCGTGTTCTGCAAACCATTCATTTGCAATGGACCTGGTAGTGGAGAAACGGTCCCTTAAGACCAATAATCTTAGGCGGCAATCTTCACGGTCTGTTGTTCTACGGCGGCGTCCAGTGCCCCTTGCTCTTTGCGTACGGCCTTCTTGAAGCCATGCCTGACAACACCTAGCCACGGTATCTACACTTCTTTGCACTCTAACTGCAATTGCCCGAAAAGAAAGTCCAGCTTCCCACTATACGGCCCCTATCAAACTCACTAAGTTGACGAAATCGTACAGGTCTCCGTACTCTAGGCATCGTAACCGATTGTAAAGGATGTCAAGAACCAAAATCCGCCAACGTTGATTCTTTACTGCGGCTGAAATATTCATTTTTAGAGCGTTAGTGAATTAAAAAAAAGCAGTATAAAAACCGGAATATCCAACTGATAAGGCTGAAAATTTTTTCACTTGTTATGTACAGTAAGATAAATACATTCACCAACTTTTATTAAAATAAAACCACTTAAACTGGGTGTTCGGATTTATATGTCACTTAGTATATATCCCTCTGATATTGTTCATATTTAACACGATTTAATATGGTTGCTAAGTTGTCATATGTGTCTTTCATTATCATTGAACAGGCTAAAGGAACAGTTACTTATTTCCATTATGAAGCAGGACTGCTTTTAGGCTGTATTTCGAAGAATCTATGCATAAACGCCACTCGCTAGAATCATGTTCCATACTAAGCTCATTCATTAAACCATCAATATCACAACAGACACATAGCTACCCTTCCATTAAAAAAAACTTGATAATGTTACATTCCGTTTTCTGTAACATGAAACACTTGCCTTTTTATCTAACAAGTTTCACTGTTGCAGTCTGAAACCAAGAAATTCCGATTTTTGTTTTGACAATCCTAGTACCAAGTCACTTAATTCATTCTGAGTTATTTAGTGAGGTTCACTGGTAGCACTTGGTAAAAATGTTGGGTCACACAATCGCTGTTCTGAGGAAGTTGTGGATCAGATTCTGAGGAAGAATTAGAATCACCGGGAGACAAGATGTCCAGGTTTAAAGGCGCTATCGGTACCGGTAGTTAGTGGCGCAGAAGGCAAATTTGGTTACTCTATTTTGTCGCTATGCTGTTTTGAAATCATTTCTGATGCAAAAGTAGCAATCACTTACATGGCCAGTAGGTTCTCTCCACACCATAGGATGCAAACGGCATAGAATTTTTCTTGCGATACATCCACTGCGGGTTCAACTGAAGGTCATGATTTTTTGCATACATATACATACTAATAGATGTTTTATCTTCGTTTACCTCAGATGCAGCATTTCGAATGTCGTGATTATGGAAATGACTGTAGATCTGCGAATCGTCGGCAAAGAATTGGATATTACAATATTCAACAACTGACTGGAGTTCAAATGAATAGGAGTGGCTCAAGTACAGACCCTTGAGGCACTCCGGAGGAAATGAGGCACTTTGACGATAGAAGCATGTCAATATGTATCCGTTGATATCGATTTCCTAAGAAGCTCTGAATCATTTTTGAGAAAAACCAAAATATTTGCATTTGGCTACTAGAAGACGATGATTTATGGTATCGAATGCTGGAAAAACGCTGAGACCCGTCGATTTTGTTTTCGAGGGGGACACAAGTTTGGCAAAAAATAACGTTAACACGTGCAGCCCCCTGGGCGGGAGTGACACCAACCCTAAAACCTTAAATACAAAGGGGGGTCGATTGATACCTTATTTTAAAGGTCTTTCAATTCCCTTTATAATGATGTAAAATACATGAGCTTCAGTTCAGTAGTTTTGAAGATTTATTGATTTAAAGCTTAAAGTAGACTTTAATAGGTAATCAGATTAGTTCGTACTACTTTCAGAAGAATTTTGACTAAAAGAATTTACTTAATAAGTAAATGCTTTTCTACACTACGCCCATGGTTTGTTTATCATTGTGTTGTTGA